ATAAAGTTGATGTTAGTATTGAAATTTGTGGTATCAAATTTCCAAATCCATTCGGTCTTGGTAATATCTATTGATATTAAAATTTTCTACGTATAATTTAATTTAATTTCAGCTAGTGCACCACCTGTAACATCAGGTCCAATGATTCGACGAAGTTTTGAAGCTGGTTGGGGTTTTGTTGTAACAAAAACATTTTGTCTTGAAAAAGATATTATTACAAATGTAAGTCCACGTATGGCTCGTGGTACAACATCAGGTCATACATATGGACCAGGACAAGGTTCATTTATAAATATTGAACTTATTTCGGAGAAAACAACTGAATATTGGCTTCAGTGTATAACTGAATTAAAAAAAGATTTTCCTGATCGAGTAAAATTATTTCCCTTTTTCTTATACATCAATATATATATATATATATCAATAGGTTATAATTGCATCAATTATGTGTAGTTATAATGAACAAGATTGGACAGAACTAGCAAAATTAACTGAAGAAGCAGGTGCAGATGCATTAGAGGTTTGTAATAAGAAAACTTGTTTTTCAATTTATTCATATCTACTTTAATGTTTTGTGTTTTCAGCTGAATCTTTCATGTCCACATGGAATGGGTTTGTAGCAATATTTTTCTATTAAAAAAATGACTAAATAACATGTATGTATATTTTAATAGGTGAAAAAGGTATGGGTTTAGCCTGTGGTCAAAAACCTGATCTTGTTTTTCATATTTGTAAATGGGTTCGTGCTGCTGTAAAAATTCCATTTTTTGCTAAAATGACACCAAATATAACTAGTATTGTCGAAATTGCTCAAGCAGCAAAAAACGGTTAGTAAATATACTCAATGAAAAAAATAATGTTTTAATTAATTCTAAATAGGTGGAGCTGATGGTGTTACAGCAACAAATACAGTTAGTGGTCTTATGAGTATAAGACATGATGGAACAGCATGGCCTAATGTTGGACAAACTAAACGTACAACATATGGTGGTGTTTCAGGCAATGCTATTCGACCAATTGCTTTAAGAGCTGTTTCTGCAATAGCGTTAGTTTAAACATATTGGTTTGTTTTTTTTAATTTTTAATTAATTTTCATGTTTTCTAGACGAGCTCTTCCTGGATATCCAATTCTTGCAACTGGTAACTAATAATTAAAAAAAAACAAGAACTAATTTTTATTTGATTAAAATCAACATTATTCTAGGTGGTATTGATTCAGCTGATGCCGGTATGCAATTTTTATATGCTGGTGCATCTGCTCTACAAGTATAAATAAATAGTTATTTATTCTTGTAATCGAAATTTCATTGTGATAGGTTTGCAGTGCAGTACAAAATCAAGATTTTACACTAATTGATGATTATATAACTGGTTTACAAGCATTACTTTATTTGAAATCACTCAATTTGGATGGATGGGATGGTCAATCACCTCCGACACCAAAACATCAGAAGGGTAAAACACTTCTTATTAAAGATCTTATCGGTTCAGTAAGTATATTTCTTTATTTCATCTGTTTCCTGTTTTATTTGGTTTTTCAAAATAGAAATTACCTCCATTTGGTGAATATCGAAAAAAACGCGATGAATTAACACAAAAATTTCTTAATCAAGTTGATATACTCGATGAACAATTTTTACCTGAAAAAGTTCGTCCAGCACAACAACCTCAGAAAGAAATACCACGTTTAGTAGATGTTCGTGGTATTGCACTTGATAAAATAACTGAATTTAAACAATTAGATCCATGTCAACCAGCTGTTGCTATTATTGATGATGTACGAGAAATGAATTATTTTTCTAATGAAAAAAAAACAAAGAATCTTTTCTTTGTTTTTAGGATTTATGTATTAATTGCGGTAAATGTTACATGACTTGTAATGATTCAGGTTATCAAGCAATTATATTTGATCCTATAACACATATTCCATATGTAACTGAAGATTGTACTGGATGTACATTATGTACATCTGTATGTCCAATTATTGATTGTATTACAATGGTACCGCGAACAACAGTATATGAAATAAAAAGAGGTTTCATGAAACAAAGATTAGATGAGAATACATCACCACTTGGTGTAATATAAATGTCAAATTAAACAATTTCAAAGACAAAAAAAAGAAATTTGATGATTTTTTTTTTCGTAGTTGATCCTATTTTCTTTTTTCTTGGGTGTGCATTTTTATGATTAATAAAAGTTTAGTGTGTTGGGAATTCGAAAGATTTTTTTTTTAAACATTTCATTTCAAATATGAAATATTACAAAATAGAATCTATAGATTTTTCACAGTGATATTCTAAATTGATAATAATCAATCAATTATAATTATATATGAATTAGATTTCAGAATTTCTATGAAAATATTGAATTAAACAATATTTGATTTACATGATAAAGAACAATCTGTATTGAACTATGAAGTGATAATGTTATTATTTTTTGTTATATAATCTTCAGTTATTGTTTTTTTTCTACATTATATTATAACCACATTGAAATAGAATAACAACTTTCGATAGTTCTAAATTCAATCAAGGGTAAAACAAAAATTTAATTCGGCATATTGAGAGAGGTTAAAAATCGACTTTCTTTTGCGCCAGACAAATCGAGCTGAAATTTTAGGATATGAATTATGGCTAATACTTACACATCTTGTGAAAGTTTCATCTTCATACATATAATGGTTGCAGAAATATTTATTTTTATTTTTAGGAGCCCGAATTATAAAAACAAATATCTCTGCAACCATTATATGTATGAAGATGAAACTTTCACAAGATGTGTAAGTATTAGTCATAATTCATATCCTAAAATTTCAGCTCGATCCGTCTGGCGCAAAAAAGTCGATTTTTAACCTCTTTCAATATGCGACGATTTTTTTTTAGCAACTTTATGTTGAATCTTTTTTATCTCAAAACCTTTTGAAGCAGTCGAAACAAAAAAGCCGAAAAAACGTCATTTATGTTGACATTGGAGACGATATGGCGTGGTGTTGAATGTGAGTGTGGATGTTGACTGCGAGTCTAGCTATGGATATACGTATATAGCAAGATGTCTGACGAAAGTCGAGATAGTCATTCACATGTACACCGACATCAGCTTGATTGTTGCATTCTCCGAAAAAGTTGATGGACAATAGCTAAGAACTTCAAAAGTAATACTGGAACTATTAAGCAACTATTCAATGATGATTTTAAAATGTTCAAAAGTTGAAAAAAGATCATCCGCGGTGAACTGGTAAGAATGATGTTTATTGATGAAAAAAAAATGGATATTTTAAACTCAAAAACTGACATTCTCTGAGTTGATAACTAATCCAATGTACACCATGATTGCATTAGTTTTCATATTCATTATTGTCTCAAATATTCATTTTGTATATTTATATTTTTCGATATTTAATTTTATATTTGAACAAAATGAATGTAATAGGAGAATACTGAACTTATTATAGTCTTATGAATATTTTACATAAACAACTAGAATACACAAAACCCATATAGGAACACTCAAAAAAAAACATTTAGTTTAGTGTGTTGAGTACTCAAAAGTTTCATGTACTTATCAATTCTTGCAGTATTTTTTAGTACAAGCATTTTATGAGTGTTCGCTCGGCGAGAGTATAATCACTAATGGCAACAAATAAACGTTATTTAATGCCTAGAAACAATATTTTATGAAAATATGCACTAAGGCAAAAAATATCAAATATAATCTCTCTAATTTCGAACGTTGTCAAAGTGTGGGATTTCTTATATTTTCATTACCAAAAATCATATCTATATGACAATTCTTCTCTCGTTTACTGTTCATATCGCATTTTGTTCTAATTAAAATTCAATAGATGTCATCTTCAATCATAGTTTCTGTTTATAAAATCATATGTATCTTTATTATTTTCATGTATGCGATGTAAACATTCTTTTAATCGAGAGGTTCAAACTCATAAGTGATTAGTTTTCTTTTCAAAGTACTACTCATTTAATAATGATATTATGCATAAAGGAACAAAAATATTTGTGAATGGAAGTTTCTAACCAATCAAATCTTACATCTAATGCCTAACATCACAACAGAACAACACATTAAATTAACTCGAATAAATATGTATTCATGCTTGTTAATTTGATTATTCATTTTTTGTATCATTTTTATTATTTTCAATCTTCTATTATAATTTATTTGTTAATGATAAATCTTCAGTTGTTTGAAATTATACTTTTCACTTATGCTAATTTCAATGTCATTGTTATTATGATTATTTTAGATTATTATTAACATACAATAGTTATTTTTTAAAGTATGAGTTCTAATTCAAATGAAAAAGAAACTGAGAAAGTAAGTTCAAATCTAAAATAGAAAAAATAAATCTCTTTATAATGAATATCTGAAATTTGAAATTGAGGAACACGAAGGTCAAAAAGACATATAGTGACCTCTGTTTTTTTTTCTTAGATGTTAGGTCAATTACAAATGAAAATGATTGACATTCAAACATCATTAAGAAAATCAACAATACAAATCGAAGATCTTAAACGTGAAATTCAACGTTCAAAATTAACTGATAAAGAAATTAATACAATTGATGAAAATACACCTATGTATTGTTCTGTTGGACGAATGTGAGATTTGACTTATCTAAAATTTAAAATAAAAATAAAGAAGTTTGTTCAAGGTTTGTTTTAAACAATAAATCCGATATTCATAAACAAATTGAAAAGAAAATCCAAACATATGAAAATGATATAAAAAAACAAGAAGTATGAAAATCAATTTATTAAAAACAAAAAAATGTTGATTATTCGTTTCTTTTTTTTTTAATAGGGAACAAAAACATATTTAGAAAAACAAATGCGTGAATGTGAATCTCAATTTAAAGAAAAACTTGTAGGAGAAGGAAAAGCAATACGTTCTTAATAAATTGTTATTGTTGTCTATTGTTTTTTTTTAAATGTTTTCTTCTCTTAATTTTAATCAATTTTTCTAGATATATCTCTATGGCATCAGTTACCCGCGAAAAATTAGAGTAAGTTAATTTGTTTGTGATTAATTAAAAAATGATTATGAATATATTTTAGTGATGGAACTATTTTTGGTATAGGAAATCCATTACTTGATATAAGTGCTGAAGTACCAACAACATTACTTGAATCGTATGTTATAAATTTGAAAATTTTTATGTTAATAGATCTATATTTTGTTAAGTCTAATATTTAAAATATATTAGGTTAAAGGTTATTCAGGGACGTTTGATTTTGTATCATAACCTTTGTTTGTTTTGTGATGCGAGGTATGTCTGAGTTAGGTCCTTTACCTTGACAGGACAGAAGACTATATTGTTTCAATTGAAAGAATAAATTATAGAGGTCGTTATAGTTACCCATTTCATTAATGCTATTAAGTCACTTCATATTGTTAAGTAGTATACTGTCTGATTGACAATTTTGAAATAATGATTAAGATTTTTTCATAAACTACTTATTGATAACTTTCTATTTTTTTTTTATAAAAGTATTAGCAAAACTATTCATCAGTAATTCGATTGAGATAATAAAAATCGATTTGATAGAATGTTGTGCACATGTAAGTACGAAAGTATTTATATATGATTTGACATATAGATCGATCTTTGTATTTTATCTTATTATTTTTGCATCCGATGAACATATTCAAAATCTAGTATATTAATCTTTTGAGTCCGTATTCAATTGCTCGATGTGAAACTAGACATTTGAGTAATAAGAAACGAATTTAAAATTTTAATAAAACTAGTTGTTTTCTGTTATGATTGGAATGTGTTTTAGTGAATGTTGTATTTTTGTCGAAAAAAAAATTATAATTGCTTTTTCTATTTAAATCATATTTTTAACTAATTCATTGAATAATGACATAACCGCAAGTGGGTCAAACTGGGCATTGTCCTACAATCAAAAGAAAGAAAAATTTTACTGATAATCATTATTAACACTATATGGCATGGAGTTTTCTCAAGATCGTGGATACTGCACTACTGCCCATGTCTTCTAGTTATGCTACTATCATTAAATTCTCTATGGGAGATAGTAGAAAAACAAACCTATTGTATGAAGATATTTTCATTTTATTCAAAATTATGAATTTGTATTTTATTATGATAAATATTATATTTCGAAGGACTTTCTAATCCTTATCCTACAGAATATTTTAAGATTGGAGACTTTCTTTCAACCTGGAGCTGTATTATCGATTTTGACACATTAGTCTTATTTTTACAAGAAGATTAACCAAGAAATTGTTTCAGTTGATAAAGTCAATTTTGCTTTCGGACTCTTTGCATAGGGCAGATTTCAGTGAGATGCGAAGCGTCTCGAAAGGATAAGTACTCATAGACATTTCGTTCAGAGTTATAGCTATTCTACTGAAATTTTAGATTATGACACGATATGCAACAATAAATTGAATGATCGTATTTCATCCAGAGACAAATCTAATTGTGACTAGAATGCTCTCAAAAATTGTAGCTCGAACAGCAATTTTCAGAACATTCTAATCACAATCAGATCTGTTTATGAGTGCAAGACGATCATTCAATTTGTTGATACATATCGTGTCAAAGTATAAAATTTCAGTAAAATGGCTATAACTCTAGAAAAAATGACTTATTGCACTTATTCGTTTAGAGCGTTTCATATTTCACTGAGATTTACCTTATACATAGAGCTTAAAATCGAAGACAATTTATCACTTGAGCCGATTTCTTCATAAGTGAATTCGTTTGATTTTTTGCTTCATATGATAATATTTGTTGATAATATAATCGATTTTCTTTAATGGTCCAAAAAATTTCTTTTGTTGTTGTTTGAAATTTTTCTGACATATTTCAGTATATTAAGAAATCTATTGCAATTGACGTAAAACAATAAAAGAAATAATAATACACAAAAAAGTAAAATAATTTCCTGTTGACTTCGTTTCTTTTTTTGCATAGCGTAATGACTGACTTTTATTCACTCATGAAAGTAGTCAAGCGAAAGAGACATAGTTAAAAATAATAATTTTGTGAGAATGATCAATGAAGTGAGAATAATTAAATACCTGTACTCTAACTCCTATATTTTCTTACACTTTGTCTGTAACACTTTTATCCTATTCTGCAACATGTCTACCCTAACCTTATCCTGCACGGTGAGAGTCAAGGTAAGGTAATTCTGCATACCTTTAAGTGTATTATGAATGTATTGAATAAAAATTTTCTTCTATATTTATTTAGATATAATTTAAAAGCCAATGATGCAATTTTAGCAGGTGAAGAACATAAAGATTTGTAAGTTTAGTTTTACAACAATTCAATATATAAGAATAATTTATTTTTGTAGAAATGAAACTATTCTTCGTGATTTTCCAAATCATCATTTTGTTGCTGGTGGTTCAACACAAAATTCAATGAGAGCTGCTACAGTAAGATTCTTCAAATGATTCATTAATCATTATAATTTTCTTTTTTTTTTGTCTTCAAGTGGCTATTGCAACAACCCGGTGCCTGTGTTTATATGGGTTGTGTTGGTCAAGATAAATATCATCAATTATTACATGATGCAGCTACAAAAGCTGGTCTTACTTTATCTTATCAAGTTTATATTGATCCTGAAGGACATGTACAAACTGGTACTTGTGCTGTTCTCATTACTGGAAATAATCGGTAAAATAAGAAAAAAGAATTGAACAAAAAAAAAAAAAATTCAATTTTTCTCATTTTTATTTTATAGATCATTAGTAGCAAATTTAGGTGCTGCTAATCATTTTACAATTGATCATTTAGATGATCCAAAAAATCGTGAATATATTGAAAAAGCGAAAATATTTTATTCAGCTGTATGTCGTGAAAGAAAAAAAAAAATCTATATAATTCAATGAAAAATAATAATAAATTTTCTTTTTTTTTTTCGAAAGGGATTTTTTTATACAGTATGTCCTGAAGCTGTGATGCGTTTATGTGAATATGCTGATAAGAATAATAGATTATTTTGTACGAATCTAGCGGCACCATTTGTTTGTGAAATATTCGGTGATAGATTAATGAAAGCTATGCCATATGTTGATTATTTATTTGGTAATGAAACTGTAAGTTAATTTAAAAAAAAAAAAGTAATAAAAGTCTTTAGATAAATAAATAATTTATAGGAATGCCGAACTTTTGCTAAACATCAATTAAAAATGGATGTAAGTTTAGAAATTTCTTTTCTTTTTTTCAGTTTTGTTACATCATTTTTTTATGCTTTATTTTAAGACTACTGATGTTCGAGTAATAGCTAAAGCATTAAGTGAACTTCCAAAAAAAAATACTAAACGTCCACGTGTGGTTGTTATTACACAAGGTCCTGACCCAACTATACTTGCTATTGGTATGAAATTTTTTGTACAAAAAAAAACAAAAAATATTTCTTTTTTTGTTTCTTTTTTTCTAGCTGGAAAAGATATTAAAGAATTTGAAGTTAAAAAACCATTAGAAATTGTTGATACAAATGGTGCTGGTGATTCGTTTGTTGGTGGTATGTTTCGTATAGATTTAATTTCTAATGAATTATTTGAAATAAATCTTATTTTTTAATACTATTTATTCTAAGAATAATATTATATTCTTGTTTAATTGTTATCGATGTAATCATTCAGATAGAAATTTTAAAATAACATTAAAAAAAGATTCGATTTTGTATTCTTTTGGATACAGGATGTTTAAAGTTAAATTTTTGCACTCATTAACAGAGATGCTTTGGTTGTCTTGTTTCTTTCCCTGTTTTATAATCCTTTTTTTCGTCTTGCAAGTAAGAAAAAAATATGACAATTATGATAGTTAGGATTATTTTGAATGATAATTAATTCTGACACTTCAGTCTGGTTTCTTTTATATAGAAAAGCTTGTCTTCAAAGGGTTAACACATGGGTACAATATACACGTCATAGTTTTTGACACTGATTAATGGGATTAAAATGAACAACTATCTTTATTATTAATATAGTCGCAGTGACAGAACACACCTATAATGTAAGATGGATAGTCACGCATAAAAAAAAAGTAAAGGTTTTCAGAATATTCAATATAGAGATCAAAATACTGAAAAAAAAGTTTTCCGTTGTCCGTAAGTGAGACTCGATGATATTAGAAAAAGTCTAACAGAATACTTGCAATTAACTCTTCCTTAGAGAGCTATGATCGTTTAACCAAATTTCTGACCTACAGCAAGCTATTTATATGAAAATAAAATGCTTAAATTTGAATGAGAAATTTCGCTCATAAATAGATCTTATGAATCTTTAAATGTCCTAAAATTTTCAGGTTAAACAAATGCCTATTTCTTGAGGTATTGAAAGTCAAAGAAAAGACAATTTTTGTGACTTGTTTCTAAAATAGGATCGTATTCTCTGAACATACAGCATATCAAGAAGGCAGAGTTCATTTTGCCATGATGAGATCTATTTGTGAGCTCAATGTCAGATGTAAATTCTTGCAGATAGTTTTTCATACATGAAAAGTTTGGTATAACAGTTATAATTATCATCGAAAAGTCAAATAGCATGAGTTTGTCTAGACTCATTGAGTCTTATTTATGAACGATATATTGAACTCGAACACATGATATCAGTTGGATAAATTGTTTTCTTAGCTGTAGCAAAAGATCTATTTGAGATTGTCCAGTATCTTAACTTTAGTACCATAAATTATTGGTCATTTTTAAAATTCGTTTTACTTAGATGATCAATGCAGATAGCTTCATAAAGTCTGTCAAAAAATGATTTTGAGATTCATCAGCTTTTATAACTGATAATTCATAGAAGCACCAATTTATACTTCTAAAGTTCTCCAGATCGATATTAGAAAATCATTGAAAAAAAAAGCAAAATTTCTGATTTATTATTTTAGGTTTTCTTGCTTATTTGGCGCTTGGTAAAACTCATGAAGAAGCAGTTCAAGCTGGTGCTTATTGTGCTTTTGAATGTATTCAACAATTTGGTTGTACTTATCCAGAAAAACCTAATTTTGATCCAACAACATTTGTTGCGTAAAAAAATCAACGTTTGACAAATGTCAAACGTTTCTTTCCTATGATAATGTCATTTTTTTTCAGTTTAAATCATTTCATCAATCAAAGTGTTTGATTTTTGTTTTTGTTTAATGAGCATCTAAATTTACATGAGTTTGGTTTTTTTAGATTATTTTAAAATGAATATTTCAGCATGTAATATTCAAAATTGATACAAGCCAACACAAATAAAATATTATCGTTGTTTTTTCCTGTTTTTTTTGTTTTGTTTTATTCTTCCATAAGGTAAAGAAATCATTACAATTGAAATGAATTTCTTTTTTATTTTTATTTTGTCATTTATCTTTTAGTTTTGATAATATGGACAATAACAGTAACAATAATCGAACATCCGTTACTGCTAATACATCGTCAAATACAAATGCAACTACAACATCAACAACAACAATAGCAAACTCATCTGCATCCGCATCTTCCTCATCATCTGCAACATCATCATCAATTCGACAAAGTCATAAACGAACATTTTCTGAATCAGATTCATCATCACGTACAGAACGACATTTATGTTCATTTTCACATTTATGGATTATTAAGTACGAAAATAGTTTCATTACTTATCTTAATTATACTAACAAATGTTGTCAATTTTTCACAGAAAACATTCACTTGCTTATGTTTTCAGTCTCTATTCTAAAATCAAAACTTTTTATATATATTAACTAATATGATTTTTTTAAATTTTTAGTTATCTTTCATCATATATTGATGATTCGAATTCTACTTGTCTTCAATCGGAATCATTTTCACCTGTTAATACACCTTATTCAAATACACGTTGGAGTTTAAAATTGTATCCACGTGGTTTAAATGAAAAACAACATACAAATAATAATATAGCTATATTTCTTAAATATGTTAGTGGTACAATGCCAACAATAAAAGCTAAAGCTGAATTTAGTGTTGTTAGTCGTAATAATGAACTTGTTATGTTACGTTCAACAAATTTTCATACATTTTCATCTGGAAATGATTGGGGTTATTCAGGTAAAAAGAAAAATATTTAAGAAGAAAAAAACAAAAAGAAAATTAATTTTTTTTTCTGTTTGTAAAGAATTTCTTGATGGAAATTATTTAAATTCTCGTCGAAATGATCTTATAACAGATGATCGTCTACGAGTTTATGTTCGTGTTGTATTAGTCGATGAAAAAGAAACAACTACAGGTGATTTACTTCGTCATCCACATCATCATCATCCATCATCAATTTTACCACCACCACCACCACCGCCACTACCATCAACACCAACACCTGCACCTACACCATCATCTCAACATCCAATTCAACAACAACAACAACAACAACAACAACCATCCAGCGCTATCCCAAAAACTCAAGCATCAACATCATCATCATCAGCATCATCATCAACAGCAACATCAATGAATAATTCAAATCCATCAAGTGCATCAACAACATCATCAACAATTATATCTGGTTTATTTACAGATGATAAAGAACGTTTTAAATCATTAGAACTTTTATCAAGTCAAATAAAAACCCTTTTAGATGATGAACGTTTTGCTGACGTACATATTCATGTTATACCTAAACAACAAACAACAACTCAACAACACCAGCAACAACAACCAATTATTAATGATGATCATAGAAAGTCAAATCGAACTAAACATCAAAGAATATCTTCAAAATATCATCAACAACAACATCCATCATGTTCATCTTGTCATTGTACATCAGAAAAAAATAAATCTTCTAGTACAACTAACGAACAAATATCTGATCATCATGAACAGTCATCGTCAGGTATAAAAATTTATTAATAAATAAATATCTTTTTAATAAGATCGTAGATTCTCATGAAATTAAAACATTCATAGAAAAGACTATGCAAACATATGGCACAGTTTTATTACAAATATGTGCCTTCGTTCTCAATCAACTTTATGCCAGTTTCTAGAGCTCGATGTGATAAAATATGCTTTCTGTTGAGGAGCTAGATCGATCTCAATATCAGATAATTGATTGTGAATTATTATTTCGAAAATTTCAATTATGTTAGTTTATTTCTCAGCATTGAATACTAGATACAAATTTATTTTACTGTACATATTCACACAATCAATATAAGTAGAAATTCTAACTCTGTTTCAACATTATTAATACTATAGATGTACGAAACTCTACTGCTTTTATCAAAAATGCATCTACTATCAATTGTATATGCGTCTATTTACGACATATATATATGTTTATCATGTTTGAATAATCTGCCTTATCGGTTGTATTTTGTTATAGAAACATTTGAGAAAACAACTATATAGAATGTAGACTATTGAAAACAAGATATCTGAAAAGGCTTTAATTGATGGGGATGCATCAAATCCAATTCTCAGATTTGGTCTTTGAGAAATTAGTATCGAATTATTAATTTATGTTAATATGCTTGCTATTAGCAATTCTATAACAACTAAATCCAGTCGAACTAAAATTCAAATCCAAACATAAAACAAAAATTTGGAATTGGTCCATCCTTATTAAGTACTACGTATTTAAAGTAGTTTTTCCATATAATCTTGATCAATTTTGAGACGATAGTTCGATTCTATACAGTCACTGTATCAATAGTATTGAAAAATTTAAAGTATAGACCTAGTTAGAACTTCTATTTACGCTGATTGTATGCATATGTATAGTCAATGAAGACATATCGTAAGATATTTTTCAAGGATAAGAATTCGCCAATAGACAGACTTAATATCTTAACTAGGGTTCATCGTATTCAAAAATTTTAGACCGAGACTCAAATCTTACTTTTAATGAAAATTTTCAAACTGCACTTGTAAGCCACTTCGAATGTATAAAATACTTTTTGTGATTATTTGTATTCACTAATTAACATACCTTAAACATTATAATTAGCTCTTACTGTTAGAACAGTGCTTGTCGAAATGTTTAGATCCGGATCCGAGTCCTATCCGACAAATTAATGTATTGAATATGTTCTATGAATGATTAATATGACTATAATATTCATTTTCATTAATAATATTCTTAGAGAAATTTATATTTTATTTTATTTTTTAGTTATCTGCAAAGATTCTGAATCAGATAATTTTGATTGTCGTCATTCAACAAATCTTTCGTCTCAAAATTATACATTTTCTAGTTCATCATCGTCATCATCATCATCATCATCCTCGACAACTCCAATAACACGTCGAACAACTCGTTCAACAACTTCATTATTATCACGTATTGCTCAAATTTCATCATCATTATCATTATCATCTGAAATAAATCCTTCATCATCAAATTGTTCAACATCATTTATTGAACCATCATCATCATCCGAAATATGTTCATCGTCTTCCATATTATCATTATCATCAAATATAAAACGTTGTTCATGTATATGTCATTATCAAGATAATACAGAACAAGATATACATATAGATATACAGCAATCTCATTTAAAATATTCTAATATAACACCATTAGCGACATTTCATGCTCATAAAGCTATATTAATGTCTCGTTCATCATCATTTGCAACACAAATACGTAATTCAACAAATTATCATAATAAAACAAATTCAAAATTACCATCAATTGATTTATATATTGATGATCTTGATCCATCAACTGTACGTATAATGCTTATTTATATATATACAGGTCGTTTAATAACATCAAATGATGATATAAAAACAAATATAAATGCTATTGATTTATTTCGTGCTGCTGTTAAATATGATTTACATGAATTACGTCAATTAGCTAAATCTACTATGTTAGATGTATTAAAAATTGATAATGCTATTGAAATGCTTGAAGTTAGTGATCAAGCTAATGATGTATCACTTAAACAACAAGTTTTAGCTTTTATACGTTCAAATGCATCAGCTGTATCAAAAACAAATAATTGGTTACAATTTACTAAACGTTATCCACATTTAGTTATTGATGCATTTCGTTCACTTGTTACACCACCATCAACAACAAATACAAAACATAATAATAATAATAATAATGCTAATAATAATTTTCATTCAACATCATTAACTACAACAAGTAAACAATATTCAAAATATGATTAATACTAAAATACAAAATATATATATGTAAGAATCATTCGTTGTGTTTTTTCTTCTTTCTTTTTTTTTGTTCTGTCTTTTATTCTCTCTTATTTGTACAGTCATATCGGATGCATAAGAAAAGTTTGTTGTCCTGTTCGTATGTTTGTTTTCTTGTTTTTTTTTTCTTTTCCTTTGTCATGATATATCTACTTGCAAAATAAACTATGAAAACAAAAAAAAAAAGAACTTTTTTATTAATATGATATACAATCTTTTTTCTTTCGTTTTGTTTTACTTTAGATTTGAATTTTATTGATTAATTATATACAATTAGTCGATATTTCAAAGTTGTAATAGTAAGCGACCAGTTTGGTATAGATTTTTTTCGAGTTTTTGCATGCGTCTTTTTTTTGGAGAAAACTGATTATAGAGGTAATTTTTTTCATTTCGTATGACTTGCAGAGATGTAGGAGGTAATAGGGTAAATCTATGATGAGAATTAGAGTACATCTACAATTGATTCATAACTTTTATGCCTTATGTGCATTTAATTAGTATACAAAGCTAATATAGAATTTGTACTCATATGAAATTTTCTATTCAGCGATAGATGCAAATAGAGTGAGAAAGAATATTTATAGAAATAGATAGTGAAATAAAAAGCTTTCAGCACTATCCCTACGAGATTAAAATATTGAGCACCATAGAGTTACTTTCATCATGGTGAAAAACTTCATCACCCATATAATAGACCAAAAAGTAACATGTCGAAAAACTTACTGGACCGTTATAAATATGTTCGCATGTCTATTATAGTCTATCAGTAGATTGAAATAGTAGCTACATATTTGTCGAGATCTTTGGGGCAAACTGAAGAAGATCAGTTCATTTTCTTACCATATACTTCAACATGCAACTCTGGTGTATTTTATTTGATTTCGAAAATGTTTATAAAAAAAGAAAAAAACAAGTTACGATGGAGTATATTGAGTTGTGCTCTTAGTAGAACCCGTCGGATTCAACCCTACGAGTTCTAGCTGTTACCCTCGTTAGTAAAAATACTGGGAGCATTGAAAAAATAGCTGCAAACGATCATGGCATTGTCATGGATTTTAACAGTTCAATTTTTTTTTACTAGTATTGTTGATGTAGAATATATGACCTACATTATCTATGTCTTTTCTACCTTCACAAGGTGATGTAAGTAATGTAGGTTATATAGGTCATGTAATCATGATGCATACAAAAGCGAGTCTACCATGACTTTAGGCTACAGAATAATCTGAATTACGACATATTATATTTTAGATTGTGATTATGAAAAAGTACTTTCTTTCTATTTCTTTAAGAGTAGCTCATAGGCAAAATGAATATCATCAACAATAGACATTTTATTGTTGCTTAATACTAGAGAATAGAGTTTTTTTTTTGTTTTGTACGAATATCTTCAATAGATGTTTATTACAATACTTTGTTGAAAGATTTCCATTTAACAGAACTTAAAACATTTTTTAATTACATAAAAGTGTAGACTCAATAGTGGATGATGTCTGATATTTTTCAAAAAAAAATTAATTATAACGAAAATCTTTTCTAATTTTGAGAATGTATTTAAACAAAATTAATGTAGCGTCATCGCTATATAGAAAAACGATAGGTATTTTTATTTTTGTTTTTGTCAAGAAAAATCAGCTGATCGAAATATACTTGCAGTCATTCTTGATAATAAATGTGTCATTTTATTATTGATTCATTAGAAAAAGAAAAAAGATACAATCTAAGTAAAAGCTTTCCTTTTTTAGCATGTTCGTTTTTATAATCTGATAGAAAACAAAAAATACTGACTAAATTAATATTTTAGATGTGTTTTGCCAATCAACAACAGCTCTACATTAGTCATTTGAAAAGAAAAACATTATAAATTCTTTTTGATTTCTTCTAATCAATTCCATTTTTATACAAGGAAAAACAACAAATTAGATTAATAGAAATAATGACATCAAACTTAGGCAATGATATCAATAATGATGAACATTCACCAATGCTTACATCATCGTCGTCATCATCGTCATCATCAAATTGTTTATCAGCATTTATAAATAGTCATACAAATAAAAATTCCACAAATGATTATGAAAAAATTAGTGAACGTTTTTTAACTATATTTTCAACATGGGATGATCGTGAACAATTAATATTTGTTGAAAACCTTCTCAAACGTATGCATAATCATCAACATGGACAAATTAATACATTTTTATTACCTATGTTACAAAGAGATTTTATTGGACAATTAGCTGGACGTGGACTTGAACATATAGCTGAGAAAATTCTTGGATATTTAGATGATCAATCATTAGTGTCAACAGAACTTGTTTGTCATGATTGGTATCATGTTATATCATCAGGTATTACAAATAGAAATTTTCGAGTTCGTCTACATTTACATCATACTTCGAATTCAAAGATTTACATTGTATGGAATACAGATCTGTATCCTGATTAAGAGATCTATGATCATTGCTCACAATGTTGAAAAATAAAATCAGCAAAAAATTTTTCTCAGTATGATGAAGAAAAAACTTCGAGAGATTTAGAAAATATTTATTTAATAATTAGATCTCTTGAAAGAATTTCTAAGGAGTTAAAAATGATCTTAAGAGGTAGCTTCTGCTCTATAAGTTGATGTGTTAATAAAGCATTCAATATTTCATGGAATAAGTCTTCATTTTTCAAATACCATCCTCAATCTTTCACGGTGTTGTATATGATTGAATCACCACATATCTACAAATAGGGATTCGTGAAAACTCAAATAGAAATCATGCTTCTGTCAAACAGACGACTAACAGTTGTTTTCCAAATTAAACTTTAGACTTGATTTAAAATCAAGTTTACAACGGAATACAGAAATTCCACACTCTCATGTCTCTTGTTTTAAGTTTAATTTCATTTGCATGAACATAACCAAAATTGTACCATACGGTTGAAGTGGTATTATTGTTGATGTGATCCTTATTTTTGAGCTGAATCTTATTGAAGAAAAAAAAATTAGATCAGAATCTAGACATTTAGTATTCGTAGGTCAACAAAAATGTGTACCCCTAGCTCTCTAATTACAAATATTTTACTTTCTATGAAATAAAACTTGACAATTTGATTATGATAGATATGTCGATCATTCATTGAGAGAAAATAAGTTGTAGCTATGAAGTATAGCATTTTTTTATTTACTGTAACAAATTCTATCTGACAGTTTTTGTATTACAAATAAATAACTCATTATATGTTTGTTTTTTCTTATTCTTGAATACTCATGTCGAAATCGATTATATTAATTATCAGAATGTTTAAACTCAGTCTAAAATGATACTAATAATGAAAACAAAACAAAATCATTGATTATAATTATTATTTCTTTTTCTTTTAGGTATGCTATGGAAAAAACTTATTGAACGTAAAGTTCTATCAGATTCATTATGGAATGGTCTTGCTAAACGTCGTGGTTGGACGAAATATCTTTTTCGTCAGATATTAACATCAGGCGAAAGTCAAAAAACTCATGAATTCTATCGTAATTTATATCCTAAAATTTTACATGATATTAAACAAATTGAAACAAATTGGCATACAGGAAAATTTCAATTAGAAAAAATTCAATGTCGTTCACAAAATAGCAAAGGTGTTTATTGTTTACAATATGATGATGAAAAAATTGTTAGTGGTCTTCGTGATAATACAATTAAAATTTGGGATAGAAAAACACATCAATGTACAAAAGTATTAACAGGACATAATGGAAGTGTTTTATGTTTACAATATGATGAAAAAATAATTGTTACAGGTTCATCTGATTCAACTGTACGTATATGGAATGTTAAAACAGGAGAATTAATTAATACATTATTACATCATTGTGAAGCTGTTTTACATCTTCGTTTTTCTGATGGTACTATGGTAACATGTTCAAAAGATCGTTCAATAGCTGTATGGCAAATGAATTCACCAACAGATATAACTATTCGACGTGTACTTGTTGGACATCGAGCGGCAGTTAATGTTGTTGATTTCGATGAAAAATATATTGTTAGTGCTAGTGGAGATCGAACAATTAAAGTTTGGGTTAGTTTATATTTATATAAAAGTTTATTTCATTAGAAATACTTTTTTTTTTCGTTCTTGTTGTGAAACACGATTTCAAAGGAGTGTTGAAGTAATAGAGAAGATCCTCCTACATCACAAACAGTATATAAATAATTTCTTGTTATAAAATGCAAACTATTTTCTTATTGGATTCCTGAAGGATTAAGGCGCTCTCACTCCTCTTAAAAATTGATCTCGGACGACGTTTATTTAAACTGTATGAAACGTTTAGTTCTATAACATAATGTTTTTGCGAGATATTCAATTAATCAAATTCAAAAATAGCTCATTTAGCAACGCAAAAGTCTCTTGAGACCTGTAATCTATAGATTTCATTTTTTTTCTGTTTGAAAGAGTTTGACAGAGCCCTTCCTTTCACGGAAATAAAAGCTCATTGTCTCCATAGCTGACATTTTAATTATTAAAGTACTCTTTTATATAATAGTAAGAAAGTTTAATTCACAAGTATGACTTTGTCATGTCCTACATCTTGACAGGATCTTTCAAACAGAAAACAAACGCCATTGAATACAATGAAGCCTCTTCGAGAATTCTCGAATGCACGATCAAAAAACAGAAATATAGAAAAAACGAAAAATATTTTCCACTCCATTTGTTGGAGAAAAGAAAACGTGCCAAATAAAAATATCGTATTATTTATGAAATATCAGCCTCGAGTTATCTTTCCATGCATTTATCTCAGTTTTCATGACTTTGCTGAAAATTGACTTTTATTGACAAAAGTCTTAAGTAAAACTATACTGAAGAAATAATATGTTCAAAAAGTGATAGAATAAAACAATCTTCTGATAATTATCAACAGCAACTATATCGTATTTCACATTGTAATTTCGCAGAAATTGTTCTAACAGTTATTTTTTCTTAAATAGGATACAACAACTTGTGAATTTGTACGGACATTACTTGGCCATAAACGTGGTATTGCTTGTTTACAATATCGTGATAAAATTGTTGTTAGTGGTTCATCAGATAATACAATTCGTATATGGGATATAGAATGTGGTGCATGTTTACGTATTCTTGAAGGACACGATGAACTTGTACGTTGTATTCGTTTTGATTCTAAACGAATTGTTTCTGGAGCTTATGATGGTATGAAACGAATAAAAGGAAAATTTATCCTATTGATTTGTCTTTTTTTTTATAATGATAGGAAAAATCAAAGTTTGGGATTTAGTAGCTGCACTTGATCCACGTTCACAATCATCATTATGTATATGTACATTAACTGAACATACAGGACGAGTATTTCGTTTACAATTTGATGAATTTCAAATTGTATCAAGTTCACATGATGATACAATACTTTGTTTTAATTTTCTTAATGATACAACAATAACAGATCATACAACAACGATAACAACATCTTAATATTAATAATGATGTATATGTTTCTATTATCATCTCATGTCTGTTTTTTTCTTTTTTTTTTCGGCTTGGTCTTTTATTCACTCATATAGTTTACTTTTTTTCTTTTGTCTTCCTTTTCTTTCATATGTCTATGTTTATATTGTCGTTTTTAATGTGCAGTGTCCTTTTTCTTTTTCTTTTTTTTTTTTTTCTTCAGTGTATATTCGATCAGGATACAAAAATGAAAAGAAAAACCATATGTAAGAGGCTTACTAACAGCATTTTTTGAACAATTTTTTCTTTATTATTTAATATAATCAAATGATGAATGATGAAAAGAACAAAAAATTTACATAGAACGACAAAAAATTGATTGATGTCAGTTAAAAAAGGGTCATTGCAAAATAAATGAAAAATATTATATATTATTCAAGGAATTCATCGAAATACAACGAACCAATAAATACTCGAGATTTCTCATTATTTATAAGTGTCCTTGACAAAAACACATGTTGAGCTGATCTGCAATCCATCAACAAATTCTTTCTATTGTTATAAAAATACTGACAACATTAATAATAATAATTACCATTGTAGATAGTACATTGTAGAGACACATAATATTGCTATATACTTTTATAGTTCTCATTTTTCAATTGAATATGAATTTTATCTTTGATCGATGATTAATATCATTCGAAAATTCGAAAAGATATTACTAATTTCTAAATAGTAGACATGAGCGGAACTAGTCGTATTTGATTTCGGGACTATCTTGTCTATATGTAAACGAATCAAAAGGAAATCCAAATAATACTTTCTAATTAACGTGATCTGAGCGTTTTCTAATTCATTATGGCATCGTACCATTTTGTCTTTATCATCTCTATGGATAAGCGTAGTTAATTCTTTAATAGGTCTATATATATATTTAATAGACGAACTGGATTTTAAAACTAATGAATGGTTATAGAGTTCAACAAATCAATTAATTAATATGTAGTTTAGAAGTATTTGATATTTAATATATTCACTTATAATCTTCTATAAAATATTTACATTCTATTCAAGTTTCATATTTTGAAAAATTAATTTTATCATGTTTGACATATTAACTTTGATCATATGGAATTTCCCATTATTTGCTTTGCTTATTTGTTAATAAATAATTCTAAGGAATAAATATCATGCTCAATGTCATCAAAAATATTCTCTCTTCATTTTGTTATTCCTTTGTTCACAAAATTTTTCAATCAATTATATATATATATATAAATATATATTATTTGATGGAACATGTTTTGTTTTTCATATGCAATGATATATCTAATGATTAGTGTAATTATAATAGAAATAAATGATATCTTTGTATGAATTTCTTTATATTAATGATAGTTGAACAGCATTCTGAATGAGAAAAATAATCATTAAATATTTTAAGCATGTTTGTAAATTGTTGTTTTTGGTTAATTCGTTACAAATATTTATTTGTTTTACAAAAAGAGAAGCCTAATTGTCGATGCATTATTGATATTAAGAGACTTTGCATGCAAATAAGATTGATGTTCTTTGCAATGTCAATAAATGAATAATTTATCTTATGCTATTAGTTAACATAGAATCATATTCATCGTTAGTGTCTGTCTGTCTGTCTTTTTCCTCCCTTGAATAATACTGATTTTGTATTGACTATTGCATATATATGAAGTTTATTATAGATGAACTAAGTATTTCCTTTTTATATTCATTTAGAAAAAAAAAGAAATTATTTTTACTATTTTTTACAGTATTGTTCATCGAATAGTTATAGAATTGATGAACTATTTATGATTATCTCTCTGTAGAATAAATTTAGTAAAAAAGACTTTCATTTGAATATACCATATAATGAAATTTTTTATTTATTCATATAATATCCTGTTCATTTTGTGTAATTAAAAGTTCATCAATAAAATATTATCATTTCCTATGACTTAAAATACGTGATTGCTTAAAAGTAATGTATGACGTTTTTCATAATAGAAATATACTCGAAACTTCAAGTACCATATGATTATACTAAGTAACCTTAACAAGCTATCTATTTTTATTATTAACTTGTATGATGAAAATTAGTCTTGACATGAGTTTTTCTTGCTTAATTATACGAAATAGATGTTATGTATAGACTAACTTTATTATTATTATGAATCTATTTAAAATAAAAGCAAAATTCTTTGCATAATTATAGTTGATCTCTTCCTATGAGACGATCTAGAAAGTGTAATTAAGATGCATTGAAAGAGATGACTAGACTATGACAACTACAATCAATTTCTTCATTTATTATTTTTTTTTTCGCTAAAGATTTTTCTTTCTTGTTAATTTTCTCTTTCATCATGTTGTCAAATCCTTTTTTTTCTCGATAGAGAATACATTTCTTGATTCAATAGATCTTGATGGATTCTTTTATATTAAGCTCTTAACAAAAGCTTCGTTGAGTAGCTCTATATATAAAAATAAATGAAATTTCGTAGAAAATTTACGATGATAGTAATAAAAATTCTTCTTGGCCCTATTTTTTTTTTCTATACTTAATCTATGTGATTGAGTGCAGGAGAAAAAAACACATTTGGTAGTATATATCTTGTTTCTATTGAGATGTAGGTTCCTTTCTTGCGCGGTTCATATACTACCCTATTCAGAGACAAGAGACGTGAGTGTTGAAAATTCCAGTGACATTGATGACAACATTGACAAGACGACGATAAATTATTCATGTAGAAACATTGAAAAGCACATATTTCTTCTTTTTCTGAATTTTCTATCCCTCTCAATATCTCTCTCTCTCTCCTCGCTACTTTCTTGATTGCCCAAAGGCCTTGGAAAAGAAAAAAAGAAAACACTTTGGTTCTGAAGACAAACATTGCACCATATAAAAAAAAGTGGCATGTCTATTATTTTGAGTTCCATATGTTACTAGAATTATTTTCTTTTTTCTTCTTCATAGATTATTGTGTGTTTTGATTATGAAATATATACCGATAAAAAATGATGAAAGACTTTTGAACATTATGTTTTTTTTTGTGTCTGTCATTAGGTCAATATATGTGCAAAACAAATTTGTTGTATCGATCATCAGTAGCATCATCACCACCTTATAGTAACAGAAGACAGGCGGAGAAATAAGAACACGACATAAGATATTCTATTTGATATCTTTTTTCTTAATACTTTCCGCCTACTAAAAATGCCAAAGGACATGGTATAACTGTCACACAACTATTTCTTGTTTTATTTATACTGCTTGTTAGAAATAATGATGCATACCTCAAAACCATCAAACGTAAGTTTTGTCAGTAATAATTGTTATTTTTGTTGTTTTATGTATGTATAAATTTGAACTTTTTTCTTTTTAATTAGGCTTATACAAATTATTCTGAAAATTTTCGAGGATATGTTTCAAATGAAACAATTATTTCATCATTAAATACTCGATATTTATTTGTTATTCGATGTTTAAGTTTCTATGCTCTTCTTCTTATAATTGTTGGTACAGTGGGAAATTTATTAACAATTATCGTATTACTAAGACGAAATCTCCGTCGTTTAGTAACTATACGATATTTAATTATAGTTAGTATATGTGATACAATATCACTTTATGGTTGGAATTTAAATGACTTTTATAAATTTAATCTTAGTCCAGATAATGATAATATAGAAGAAATATCAATTACACATTGTCGAGTTATATCATTTATGACATTTGTTAGTTTACAATTATCAAGCTGGTGTTTAACTGCGGTTAGCCTTGGTAAGAAAATAACATCAACAAATAACTCAATTTCGTTCAAACCTATTTCCTATGAGTAAAAAAACATTTTTCTACGAACAATTGATCATTAGGGGGAGTACAACATTTCTTATAATGAAACTATTTATGTTATAAGTTAATAACGTTAGACACATTCGGGTTTAACTAAATGCCTAATTTGGCATTCTGGAACCGAAAAATCCAAATGTTAAGGTTTTCACACCGTAAATAACATGCTCACAAATGAAAACTTCAATAGAATTGTTTTTTTTTGTCGTAGTTGGATAGAACTAATCGAATGGCAGCAGAAAAATTTTGTTTCAAATTAAGAAAGTATATCTCATAAGAAAAGAGCAAGGTACCATTACTTTGAAATACACATGGAAATAGACGAAAAATTTCTAATTTTCGTACGGCATTTTTTTAATTTGAAACATTTTTTCTGATGGTTGCCAACACCTTAAAATTTGAGCATCTTGATCAAAGCACTCCAACAGCACTCTTTACTTTCAATTAGTTATTTTGGTAATGATTGTTTTAATTTCACTCGAACGTATCTAATCTTATTAACTTACAACACAAACATCTGTATTGTTAATATTCTAACGGATAATCGAAAAGTAATCAGAATAAAATTCTCATTCTTTTGTCAATGTTTCTTAAGAAGTCTGCAGACATTGGAAAACATCGAGTTAGAATTAGAATTTTGCCTTCATTTCAAGTATGAATTCAAACTTTTAGTGTAACTTTTGGTTTAGAAGTCCATAAATTAATTTTTGGATGAACTTTAGCATACCAAAAATTATTTAAAGTAGCAGTAAAAACTATTTGTGAAACAGCGAATGAAAGGGCAAACATTTCTCATTAAAATAATATACTAATGATTTATTTGCTCTAAGTCATTTGCTATCAGAGAGTTCTTTGTTTAGAGACACTTTCAATCCAGGCAATCTCCTTGATTTCTATAGAAATCAGAGTTTCAAAGAAAACTGCGACATTCTTAACTAACCAGAAGTTCTGCTAAAATATCGAACCCATATTCGACACGAACATAAAATTTTAAGTTTAATCGAATATTTTCAAATTTCATCAGGCTTCTTAACAAGGCTCAAAAATGAATGAACATTTTATTCTAATAACTTTTCAGTCATCCGTTAGTTAAAATATCCTTATTTTTCATTAATAAAATACTGACTTTGACATTCTTTTAGTTAGTATTGAGTTA